ATACGGCTTTGTGACTAAAATTGTTTTGACTCCGAGGAAAGCCCCGAAATTAGAGCAGACCCCGCGTTGTTTATTTGTTTGATTTTTCGCTTTTGGAAAAAAAAATATTCGCAATTTTTTCTCAAATGAATATATGTAGGCCTATATAATCTTCTAACATGCAAATATCAAGGATATTTCCTTATTTTTTATCAAAAAATTAAGTTTGTTTTAGCCGTCGTCGATACGACGTCAAATTGTATGTTTTCACGTCGTCGTCGTCAACACGACTGCCGTGGTAGATTGAACCGGAAGTAAAAGGCGCTGCCACGCAATTTTCACGGCGTCTTAGACGAAACGTCGTGTTTGCTAAATCACTCTAATATCGTGTAAAATGTCTTCATGAGTGATATTCAGAGGAGCGGGCGCTCACGACTTACAAACATGCACTACCTTTTTGGTTTCGCTACGTAGATGACACGATCACAGCAATACATGCAGACGAGATTGATGACTTTCACACTCACATCAACAAACAGAACAGCCACATGCAATTTACCAAAGATGTCGAAGAAAGCGGAACTCTTATTTTTCTCGACTGTTTGGTAAAACATGACAATCAAAAACTACGAACAACAGTTTATCGCAAGCCAACACATACTGATTGACTACTAGACCAATTATCTTACAACCCTACATCACACAAAGCCACCACAATCAGAACATTAACAAGACGTGCACAAATGATATGTGATTCACCGGACGCTCTACACAACGAAAACAACAAATAAATCAATACTTCTCCGATACAAACACGTGTTAAATGCCCAACAAGGCTATACTTAATCTTAAGATAATTCAACAACTTATTTTAAAAAATATACTCTTCAATATACATATAACAACGCTCCAGGCACGCATTCAAGTCTCCTAGTCCATGACCTGTTAAAATAATAAGTCATATGTGACGTCATTCCTGTCACGTGCAAAGTTTTATCTTATTAAATAAAAAGAAACGGGCGAGCCTGATTTCCCATCAATCTTACCTTAAATAACTTCGTCAATACAGACAATCTAAATAATCAGAAAACATTGCAAACATCTTTTGCATCACTACGCTCTTACTCAAATAGTCTGGCATGCAAGTAATGTTAAAAAAAACAAAATAAATTTACAAATGATTTTGAAAACTTTCTATAGCTGTCTGATTTGAGCAAGACTTAGATTCATTATCTCCTTTAAATGACCGCTCTTTTTTAGACAAGACAACATCAATATTACTTTCTTCTCTTTTCTGACTTTCATTCTCATTATGTCGCTTCATGGCCACTTTTATTGCTTTTATAAAATAATTTCTACACACTTATTTTAATCCATATCCATCGTGTTCACCATTTTGTACTTTTGAAAAAAGCAATATAAGTTTTTACGTTCCTGGAAACTGTCCAACAAATGATGTATATATTTACGTAACGAATGTTTGTCTAAGTTTTGATTTTGATAAAACTGAAAGTAGTGTAAGTAAAAAACTGCTGTCCATTCACAATAGCACACAACCAATTTTTCTTCTTTTGCCAAGACTGCTAAGAAGCTCCTGTATCTTGTTTTTACTTTGAGTAGCATATCATAGGAATAGCTTACGGCATACAATCACAGTTTTTCTGATCTTTAGTATTTTTCCAACGGAAAGGAAATATTTAACAACTGAGCTAATTTACATCTCACGTTAAAGACGCACCAACCAAAACGCATTGTTTTATTAATGTAAAGTAAAAAAACTTTCGTTTCACGTACAATTTATTAATTATATAAACAATCGTTTACCTTAGCTTATGTTTGATTATTTATCTTAAATTGACAATTTTTAGTAAACAATTCGTGGCTTCTTAAATATATAATAAGAAATTTTTGCCATTTCAAATGAATCTTCGTAGCCAATGGAAAACATAATTGTGCTATCCAGACAATGTGTCAGTTGTTACAAATTATTGTAAAACAAGCTTATTTTAAACGTCGCATTTAAAGAGGTGCACTGGACTCAAGAATGTAGTACCAAGCAACTTAATGCATGACAAAATCGTCAGCCTCAGTCAATTCAAAAGAAGGTTATGAAAACTATCTTTGGAAACAATACGTAAAGTCGACGATGCAAAAACATTTTAATCTAATCTATGTTTGTCTTATAGCTAGACACGTCAAATGTCCAATGAAAGAAATAATTTGACTTTTTATTTCATGGGGAGTGGGGGAGGGGGATTTGCAGTAGCACGACTTTAAAATTTTCCTGGTAATAATTGCCATTTGTAAATATGCATGTCTTTCTGGCTTTCACGTTTCAATTGAATTAAATATTTGTCGAATAAGTTTACAGTTTAACGTCGTATAATGACAGAAAACTATAAATACTGGCTGTGTCTTTCACTTTAAATAATGTTTTTCAATGGTTAAATTTTAATTCGATCCCAAAGCCCATCTTCAGTGAACTGTCAAGCAAAGGTCTCTTAATAATTTTTGAAATTGAGGTGATGATCGATGAACATCCAGTACGGTTGAATGCCTTTAACGTGTTACATAGAAATGCAAAAACATTGGAATTGAAAGGATGGACATATTTACATTTTCCTTACCCTTTAGTAATTATAAGATAATCAGCAACAACGAATTCGTTCTGCTCTTATTTGTGTGATGTTTGACTAATGAATTCATATTCACATAATGCATCATGTAGCAAAATCTTTTAGTAAGCCCTGACTCCCGGCCTTCCATTTCCTACGTCATTGCTTCTTCTTTGCTTCTTTTTTAACCATTTAGACTTCTAGGCATTATTTGCAATCTTTTTTCCGTTCTTACATGCATTCTTTTCGTCGCTTTTGTGAAAATAGAATTCAAACCAAAAAGAAATGAGCACAAATCGTTGACATTTAAGATTGGTATAAATGCAAAAAATATTTTATGTACAAATAGCTTAGTAAAGTACGATATCAGTTGGTGGAAGTTTAAGTACTTAAGCAATACGTACACAAATATAAAGTATAAAGATAGTTTAGCGTTATTTTTGACCTTAATAATATTTAATAGCCGTTCAATTCAGGATTAGAGTGTTTTTTCTATCAATGAATTTAATGTTGGTCAGTTTTCGTTTTCGTCGGGCAAAAATGTGTCAGCACTCCCAATATTTTTGGTCCCGTACGCCCATGTTATATTTCCTCATCATATAAACTCTCAACTTCAACTAAAAGATATATATAATGTATCTTGAATTTTTGAAATTCTTGATTTTAATCTTGTTGATATATCAATTTTTGTACAGATGGAATCAAGAGGAACAAGAAATCTGTCTTACATTATGCAAATTATTATTGTGGTTCAAAAGGAACTTGCTCAGTTCTTTATCAAAAAATGGAACTCTCGTTACAAATCAACTTTTGGAGAATGGGATGATACACACAACAGTGGCAACAAATTTTACAATTTAGAATCAGGAAGAAAATTAGACCAAAGAACACGACAAAAATATCAGGATGGAGACACCAGTAAGTGGGACTGTACGATATTATTTGATGCAATAATTTTTTCAAATTCAATTGGAAAGCAACTTGACAAAAAAACAAAGGATGCTGTTTCTGCAATTCGTTGTGAAAGAAACAAATACGCACATTGGTATGAAAGGGAATGCTCAGATGATGATTTTGATGATATAGTCAGTATCATTCAAAAATCATTTCAAGATTTGAAATTTTCTCTCGATGAAATCAATAAAATAAAATATCATCGTAACAGTTTTAATTCGTTCCAAGTTCTTCCTTCAAAACCTAATCATTTTTTCGTTGAACGCACTGAATTACGAGATGAAATTATAAAAGATCTTGAAAAATTAAGGAATGATAACAATGATAAACTGACATATTTTTACATCACTGGTAATCCTGGCAGTGGTAAATCTCAACTTGCAAGACAGGTTTGTGAAAAAATATCGTGTGATTGGAAAAATAAAACTTCGTTTGTAATGACTCTCGATGGCAAAAATGAGGAATCTCTTTTGAAAACTTACTGTGAACTTGGATACCGTTTAAACTGTGACAAGTATATGATTAAAAAGTTTGAAGATGAAAACTGTTTCATCACAGACAAAGGGAAGAATTTGCGATCGTTAGTATCCACACGATTACAATTCTGGCAAAATTGGTTGATCATTGTAGACAACGTAGTACAGCTCAGCAAAATTTCTTCATTACTTCCCCAAGTTGGTGAACCCATGTGGAGAAATGGACAAATCGTAGTAACTATCCAGAACACAGATGCCATACCTCATGATGATGAGTTTAACAAACATATTTCTATCAGAAGTGGAATGAATGATAAAGAATGTTCTCAAATGTTGAATTATTACTCTGAAGATAAAAACGCTGATGACCAATTGTTGAATGAAGTATCGCATGCATTAGATCGTCAACCGCTGTCTTTGGCTGCTGCTGGTTATTATGTCAGTCGTGTAAACAAAGCAAACTGCTCATTTACTTTGAAACAATATTTAAAGAAAATATCTTCAGAAGAACAAGAAAACATGGACGCCACTTTTGTTAAATTTAACTCGGTATATCCTAGAAGTATGTTACAAGCTTCACTTTTAGCTGTCAGACAAAATGCTGAAGAATCCTCAATATTGGCAAATGTTATTAACTTTTTTTCCGTGATATCGTTTGATCCTATACCACGAGACATTATTGTTTTTTATGTTCAAGAAATGGATCCCAAACACTCAAAGGAAGATATATGTCTTTGTTTAAAGGACTGCTCATTGTTCTTGCATTCAGAAAATAATGACATTAGTCTACATCGCATTGTACACAAAGCAATTATTTTTTATCAATCTGAACATTCAAATGAAGAACATGAAATCGAAACTAACGTTGATCAAATGTCAAAAGCACTTTACATGTTTAAAGAGAGAGACGACGAAATCAAATTGATGCCACATCTTAAAAAAATTGTACAATTATTAAAGACCAACAAGACAAAAATCAACTTGAACACTTTACAAGTTTTCCAATATTTTGTTGACAGATTAAGACATTTTGGAGAATACGATATTGCTCTTACACTATTGGATGAATTTAAATCAGAAGAATCTAGTAATGACAAAGCTTGGTATTTTAGTGTCCTCGGTCTTTTATACCATAACACCGGAAAATATAGCAAAGCTAAGCATCATCATGAAAAAGCTTTGGAAATTCGAAAACTATCGTTAGGTCCAAATCATGTTGATGTCGCTGCGTCTTTACACAATATTGGTATGGTGTTTCATGAAACTGGAAACTACGACAAAGCTAAAGAGTTTTACGAAAAAGCTCTGGCAATTAGAAAACAATCGTTAGCTCGAAACCAAGTTGAGGTTCCTCGGTCTTTAAGCAGTCTTGGTAATGTGCTTGAAAAAACTGGAAATTACGACAAAGCTATAGAGTTTCACGAAAAAGCTCTGGAATTTCAAAAACAATCGTTAGGTCCAAATCATATTGATGTTGCTGCATCATTAAACAATATCGGTTTGCTTTATGATAAAACAGGAAAACAACATAAAGCTATAAAGTTTTTTGAAAAATCTCTAGAAGTTCGAAAACTGAATGTGCTTGGTGAAGACCTTACTCATGTCACTGCGTCTTTCCGCAAGTTTCGTACGATGCACGAAGAAACTGAAAAATATGAGTCTCAAAAAACTCAAAGTAAATTTCCAGTTCCAAGTCATGCTCATGTTTCTCGGTCATCAAATTATTTTGGTAAGTTTGTAGGTATTATATACAACATAATGTTGTAATTCATTTGCGATAATGATATTTTGTTCAAGTGCAAGTCCGTCCAAATTTTGCCCTATCTTATTTTCGCCGGGTGAAAAATATACAATCTTAGAAATATTTTTGTGTATGTTTGAGCATTTTTGGTGTGGTATAAATTGTTTAATTTTAACGCTAAATTTCGCCACCCGATGCCAATTTTTACAAATGGATCGTGACGTCATAAGATTTCCCACCTCGCTAGTTTATTATATTACCATAAACAAATGTCAGTCTGGAGCTTCAATACTGTTAAATTTTGTGTCGAAAAACGCGTTTTATTCCACGAAATTTGGCAAAAGTATCAAAAAGATAGCTTTCAATACAAATATTGGTTAATAAATCTTTTGAGGACGCAATTTTATCATAAAGTTCATTAACGAAATTTGTAACGCTGACAGCCATAAAGAATATAAATAGTTATCAAATGTATTCTGCCGTTCTTGTACAAAATTTTGGACACTTCGATTATTAAAATAAGCTTGAAAATGTGTAACTCTTGACGATGAAGCTTTCTGCATTGACGTCTCGACCACAGGTGTTGTTGTAACTTGTAATTGTCACAGAGTTGTTGAGAATATCGTAACTATTAATCATATTCTATATACAGACATTAATGAACTGGAGAATCAGCTCTTTAGGGAAAATATACTGGCACAAAGTCTTGCATCCGTCAAATTAATAGGTACATTTATAGCTAAAGCAAGAATATTAAAGTCAAATTTAGTTCATGTTTTTTGTGTCTAACTCCAACTATTTGAGATACGTAGCTTATTGATGGCTTTTAACATGTTTCAGTCGGCTAAGAATACTTACAAGTTTTGTAGTATAATAGAAAAAAATTTGGCCATAATTAATTTAGAGTCCTAGATTTAAGTGGATCATTGACATACAAATTCTTTTATTTGAGGACTGTGCTATTCATTTTGCTTGTAGACAAACAAAAGAGCCAAAGCAATGATTAAAATGCAGTTGGGATTCATATTTACTTTAATAAACAAAAATAATAATTCAAAAATCTACCTATAAACTAAAAACATATACATAAAACCCGCTCTAAAGAACAGTGAGATGGAAACAAAACATTTTAATCAAACAAACATTGCTCAAGATATATAACAGCTATAAACTCATTGTTAGTTGTAAGATTCAAATACAACATTGCAATAATTTAGAGATAATTATATTCCATATGCCTGGTGTGTCTATTTCAAAGCGACTCATAGAATTAAAGCTTACATGATAAATAATTTTTTTCTATATACAGAGTGTCTATTGTCTTGTATTTTATCAAAATTCTCTTTGGCAGTCGTAATGCATGAAGTTTGTTAATCCACATTTATTTGTAAAATTACGCCTGATGAAAGCTGGTTTATTACGTGAAAATATATAATGCACCCAACATTTCCAATTGTAAGGTCATTTTATTACTTAAAAATGTGAGTCATGTAAAACAGAGCGTAATATATGTATATGACATTTTGGAGCAAATGGGCAAAACGAAATGAAATAAATAGTTTTTAAAAGCTACTATCCAAAACTTTCCAATTTATTTGTGTTATTTCTTTTAGGGCGCTAGCTGTAAATTCATTTTTTACTTGTTGTCAAAATAGAAATACACAGCTTGTGTGGATAACCCTTTTTTAAAATATTGTTCGTAGAAATCACAAGTGGTGATGATGCTACTGCTAAAGATGTCGGAAATTCTCCTGGTGTTGAAAATATAAATCAAGGTATGCCTTTCGATTCTATTTTATTTTATATATATTTCATAATCTAAGCATATTTGTCTTGTATTGTATCACAATTCAAGTCATTTGATTGGTATTTATGTGTTTTTATGAAGATTTATATTATTTTAAATAAGATTTATACGTATACAGTGTTGCACTTTCGGACTCCAAACGTTCGTTTATTACGTATGTTCAATACTGTATCAATGGGTTAAATTTTCCTTTTGCGAATGACAAATAATTTTAATGTACTTTGTACCAGACGGCAGTGCTCAGCACAATTTGACAAGTCTTTGTTTATCTCAATAAACACTGCATAGCAGCAAAGTGATGTAAATCTTTTTATAAAGTGCTCAAATTGACTACATTTCATAAGTTCCATTGAAGAAAAAGGTTTATAATAAATAGACTAAACCCTTTTAAAACAAATCTTGACATAATGTAAACCATACAGATCAGCCCCTTCATTTTGGAAGTGTTCAGGTTAGACCATCTGTTTTAAAAGTGCTCGTGTTTGATTAAATTAATTACTATTCTCTTTGCACAGGAGATTCGTCGGAGTATAACTATTTTCTCAAATAGAAATTATGTTTTTTGCTCCTGGCTTACAGAATGTTAAAACAATTAAAAAACATCACCAAGTCCAAGTTCTAATAAAAGTTTACTTCAAATAAAGTCTTCAATTAACCTTTCACATTAACAAATGTTATGAGATGTATGATTTTTTTCACCACATGTCTAAGCAACACTGAATGGTAACGTGTGCCGCTGGTGTAATCTGTTTTAAAAACGACAGTAAAAACTTGTCACTTCACAATTTGTACTCGAAGCACATTATCAGTCAGTTGAATTTAAGGTGAGACATGAGGTGATAATGACATCATGCAATCTATTTTTTTAAAAGAACGTTTATTGTATTCTGCTTGTTAATCATAAAAACTTCTCAACAAACTATCCTTTTGATATACTGTCATACTTCACGTTTGCACCACCATGCATACATTACCTAGCCAATAAAATTGAAAATTATGCAAAGAACGGCCACCATCAAATGGACTTGCTCAATATACTTCAATAAATGAGAATTCCTGTTCATTGGAGTAAAATACCTCAAAATCATATGGAAAATGAGCAAATTTGACGATGTGAATTCTAAAGTTTCCACAATAAAAGGAAGGCTATTTACAATTTTCATTATGACAAATGTAGCATTAAATTACACATTAAACGATCTTCTAAATTCTAATTTTACTGAAAAATACAAGTTTTTTTGAACTCTCTCCTTGCTAAGTATACTGAAGATTACCTCTTCAGTGTGAACATGATTCAAAAGTCCACAAAGATCATTTTCTAGCTTAGAATTAAATTTTGAATACTTTTTACTTAGAATTGCATTTTGAAAGGTGCATAGAGCATAAAAGTTGCTGTATGAGTTTTTTCTACTAGAAAATTTCCCAAAATAGATAAGCAAATAACGTTACTAATCGCAAAACTTAAAAACAACGACTTTATTCATTGATTTAAATAAATTACTCCCACTGATTTCAAAATAAATAAATATATTTATTTCGACTATATCAGAAGAGCAAATAAGTCCAAAAATCTCATTTATGATTCAAACTGTGTCTTAAATTGATGATTGTCAAATGGCTCGATGGCCTTCATTAAAAAGTGCGCTTGAATCAGACCAAGCCACTTACGACTTAAGCCTCCCTGTTGCAAATTATGTTAAAGTTATGTTGGGTTTCAATTGTACATTCGGGTACGTTGGGGACGATAAGGAACAATATAGAAAACATGAGTGAAACGGAAGTAGAGAGAGCAGAGAACGGAAGTGAGACATGCGACACAAGCGAGACGAATGAGAAAAGCGAGGGAAGCGAGATACTTTAAGAATTAATAATAAAAATTGTTTATGAAACCAAGTTGTGATAGTGATTATTCTTCGTGTTCCGAACACATTGGGACGGAGGTCAATTTTCGTAATACGTGGCACCTACCGACGAAGGATTGTTATTGTGATAAATTGTGAAAATTTCGTACGAGATATTACACGTGCCATACAAACATGGCAAACGACGAAGCAAAACTCAACATAAAATTAACTCAACTAAAGTTATCTGCTCAAAGAACAGCTAAAATATTAGATTCGGGAAAGCGAGAAACTATCGAACGACAACTGAACGCACTCAAAACAACTATAAACGAAGCTGACAATTTTAAAAGAGCTGTAGAAGCAGCGAAAATCGAAAGAGAAGACGACCTTGAAGAAATCAGCGATTGGAATGCGGAAATCGAAACAAAAATAAGCGAAGCCGAAGACGAAATAAACAAGCTACAACACTGGCTGAACAATAAGAAATTAGAAGAGGAAAATCACGCTCGCGAGGAGCAACTCAAATTTGAAGTAAAGCTTCAAGAAACAAAGGCTCAAGCAGGGGCGGATCCAGGCTGGTGCAACTGATGCGAGTGCATCAGTCATAAAATTGAATAGTTAATGTTTCACAACATATTATAACTTACAATCAATACGAGCAAAATGCAAGAAATATATCAGATTGGAACGTTTATAGTTTCTAAATGCTTTAAATACCTTAACACTGACAATATATTGACAACAAATGTACATTGATGATTGAGAAATATTGTTAAAAACCTTCGTCGATTGTTTACATGTGAGTATCATTTTGATTACAGCCGCATTATTAAAAAATGCGTCGCTAAATATGGCGTTTTTATGTGTCGAAATTTTTAGCGAAAATTTGTTTCATCATCCAGCTGCACTGAGCTGAATTTGTATTTTCTACGTCACGGTGGCTAGATTGTAATCACTACGTCACGGTGGGGAAAAAGTGCACCAGAGCCCTCTATTAGTAAGAGTTGGGACAAACGGTCTGGGGCGAGCGCGGAGCCGCCATTTTGGTTCCTACTTGCAAAGTGAAACTATAATAATACTATTGGAAATTGGGTTTATATGCAAAAGAAGAAGGCAATTTAAGCTTATTCCATGGTAGTATCAAATATATTAGGAATAATAGCAAGATCTTTACGTTTTTTTAACGATTTGCGGCAGACCTGATTTAATTTCATTGGTTTGAGCTTCGTTTGTGGTTTACTAGTTCGTGCTTCAAATTGATCGTGACCCATTGTAAGACGTATTTTTCGTACGTGAACGTGTTTTCTCGGCTTATGTTCCGACTCTGTAACAAGTTTTCAAGATCTTTAAGCTTGGTGGCAAGCGGCAATGTTATCCTGGCATCAGTGTTATCAAATAGTTGGACAAGCCTTTGTTCGAAACTTCGAATCATAGTAATCATGCAGTTTTGGTCCGGAAAGATTTGTGTTCAAGATTTGTAACAATTTAATGGTAGTGAGTTGTTTATGCCCCCCAATTTAATCCAAGCATGACATTTTTTATTCTGAAAGATCACAAAATTTTCTTGCTCAGCAGAAAATGACAGACTTTTACTTTTTGACCAGGATGCATTTGGCCTTAAACGTTTTATTCCTTTATATGAAGTTATTTCGCCTTTAACACTTTATAAAGTATTAAAGTTTATTTCTAATAAAGTTTGTTAAGGATTCTGCTGAAAATTTTGGTGAAGCATTTCTTTAAAGTGAATATATTATTTCTATAGCATGAAACATTTCTGTTGTTGAAGAACAGTCTGTTTGCTATAAATGCTACTGTTTGTAGTCTTTTATACAGCATATGAGTCGGATCCAATTTAGCACAGAGTTAAATTTATTGGTTGAGGAATGACAAAACTTCTGTATGTGTTTAATGATCAAACAGGGGTGTGTTGGAGGGGGCTCAGCTCCGTTTGTTCAAATTATATGCCTTGTATTGCCAGTGAAATATATATATCAAAAAGCCAACAGCACCTAAATATATATCAGAAAGCCAGCAATATTTTAATATAGAGAAAGGCAGCAACAGTTGTAATATACATTAAAAAGCCCAAATAGCTGAAATTATGGAGATATACCTCTGTGATCTTATAAACCAAAACCTACAATTAAAATATCATCAACAAGTCTAGAAGAGAAGTAATGTTCTACTTTGAGCTACAGAAGTAGGGTACATTTGTACAATTCATTACCAAAAATATATTGTACTCAGCTGTTTTAGTGAATATCCTAATTATAATTACTTCATTTTTAAATGATGAACTAAAAATACAAAATACAACATGGAAAATCATAAGAGTTTCTGTGATTTGGTGTAGTTGTTTGTTTTAGTGTGGAAGTGGCTGAGAATTGAGAGGTTTGTATATTGACCAATTTCAGAACATAATGAGAAATCATCTTCGATTAAAAAACAAGCTTTGGAGTAAGAAACTCTTGAAACTGCATCAGCTCGAACTTTGCAATGTTATTTGGCCCAAAAATGTTTCTCTACTTGAGTCAGTTGATTGAACCTTATATCAAGAGCAGTTCAGCACAACAATCACCATACGCAATCAAATTTCGTAAGTTCGACGTAAAGGCATTTCTTTCATTTTTTTCGTAATCCTCGATTCTTGCGATATGTAATGACATTTGGTAGCCTTCAACAATCAGTTATTACAAACTTATCCATAAAAAAACGCAATATTATCTCAAAATACTGTATTACTAGCAGCAATTGCTATATAAACACTAGCTCAACTTTCAAAACTAGGAACCAAAATGGCGGAAATTGATCAGGTGATCAATATTGCCCAATCAACGTAAGCTAAACGGATAACAATAGATGTCCCAACTCTTACTAATAGAGGGCTCTGAAGTGCACCAGTTGGTGCAACAGTCCCGAGTCTCTTTGGCCGAGTGAACCACCTAAACGTCACGGATTTCATTGTTTTTTAGCCTACGTCACGGTGGGAAATCGCTGCTGACTGTTGCACTTAAGCCCACGAACACCAAAATTTCATTCTGACTGGTGCACTTGAGCCAGCGTTTTAATCTTCAAACCTTCAAAATTATAATTACATGACTATGGCATTTGGCTTATTTATATC